GATATGTTAAATTTCTTTAGACTTGAGTGTTGTATTTTCCATATCTGGAATACATGTACAGTATTTATACAGTATACTGTAAATGTGAGACAAGGAAGACTCAGTTTCCTGATGTTACAGGAGACCACTTCAGTTTTTTCTATGACAGTATAAAAAAAATGTTTTCCCACACAAATGCAAGATAATTATCTTTAAACCAAGGACTTGAATTTCCAAGCCTAAGGCAAAACCAGAAAACTCTGATCCATATATTTCATCCTTACTCTCCTTGTTGCACAATTGCTTGTTCATTTAGGGAATATAGTACAGTATGTCATTAAACTTGCATCAGGCTGTGTTATTCATAGAAAAATTCAGCAGAGCATTTTAATTTTTAATTAATAGCTGCCCAGTACTTTTTTGTCTCAGAACTACATTACAATGAAAATATCTTTTTCACCTGAACCTTATCCTACTGTAGCTATACTGGAGTCGACATTGTAGCGCGGGTAATCCAGACTGCATGAATTAATTGTTTAAGGGAGTCCACTCCTGGTGCAATTCAGCAAAGCTGAGTATGTCTTTGAGGGGCAAAGGGTAACTGGAGTACCTGGAAGAAACACATGTGATTAGAGGGAGACTGTGTTCATGTATCTATAGTTTTCTCCTATTTTCAAAAATACGCTGACAATGTTAAGGGATGTCCCTTAACTGCATGTAGTTTACAATGAACATTAGGGAGGGGTGACAGCAGATTAGTTCACTTTCACCTCTGATGCCCTGACTTGTAATTAATCCAGACAGGATTTACAAAAAGAAAAAAAACTATAAATACCATAAGAAAGCCCCTTTTCCCTTCACATTTATTTTTGCATCCCTGCTGTGCTCCATCTCCACCTTTGCATTTACCCATTAGTTAAATTCTCACTATGCAGGGAGGTCATAGCTCTTCATCCTACAGCCAATGAGCTGGTTCTCAGTCAAACAGGTCAAGCTGAATCTTACTGTGACTCAATAAAGCACTCAATAAGGATTTTCAGTGCATTTACTGTACTTCTTGGGTGTTAGTATACAGTACCTGTACAGGGCACAGTGCTTCCTTATGAAAGACTTCAAATAAGCATGACCCCAACCAGGAATAAGCAGCTGAATTGGTGAAAGTACATGATTTATATTCATACAGATTTTAATTACTATACTCTATATCGTATAGTAATGAACTGAACTGATAACTTTTGTATACTGTAATTAATTGGTGTGTGAGGGGGGCTGGAGTTTAAAAAAATAATTATGTTGTTATTATGTTTGATGACAGTGATGGCGATAACATACTATACAGACAGTTGTTAATTGGTTCTATTTTTGGTGTACTTCCAATTAATTTCCGCTCTTGTTTTTAATTAGCTTTCAGAATACAACACTTAAATGATGTATGTTTTATATAGTAACAAAGGCACCCTAGTGAAAAAAAGGCCTTTGTATGCTTTCTCTTTGCAATACTCTTTCCTGAGATTTTAAGATAGTAAAAGCATTTGAATGTACTTGATTTTGTCAGAGACTAAAATGTGGGGGGAAATGGGTTAGGTTTTTTTGTTTTACACCTTGTATACACATAAACATAGTAATAAAACAATGCCAATATCCACTTCAGAGAAATCAACCATTCCCAACCGCAGTTTTTTTCTTTACTAGTTGCCTTAATAGGTTGGAGCTTTGGTGGTGTGGTTAGCATTTCTGCATCGCAACACTGGGGCCCTGGGTTCAGTTCAAGGGATCATATCTGAATGGAGTTTCTGTGATCTCCTCATTTTAGCATGCATTTTCTCCAATAGTTCAAAGACATACTGATAGGTTAACTGGCTTCTGTCAAAACAGGCCCCTGGTGTGCGTGTGTGTTTGTGTCTGTGTGTGCCCTACAATGGACTAGCCTTCAGCTTGTGTTTGTCAGGATAGGCTCTGGCTCCCCTTCAACCCTCTACTGAATAAAGTGGTTAATGAAATTAATACATTTGACATGGCCAATATTTAATATGGAAAGCAGCAAAAGCTAAGGTTACTGCAGGAAGAGGTGTTAGTGGGGGCTGTGAGGTGTGCTCACCCTGCAGTATGTGTGGGTTCTAAAGCCCCAGTATAGTGATGGGTATGCTATACTGTACAAAGGCACCGTCTAATGAATGAGGTCCTGACTCTCCATGGACATTAAAAATCCCAGGGAGTTTCCCTAAAAGAGAAGGGCTGTTAAACCCCAGTGTCCTGGCCAAAGTTCCCTTAGGCCTAAAGTAATAATGGCCTCTTAATATTCCCCATCTATGAACTGGCTTCATTACTGTGTTCTCCTCCTCACTGATAGTTGAATTGTGGTGAGTATACTGTGCGCTCTATGGCTACCATCGCATTATCCAGGTGGGTGCCACACATTGGTGGTTATGAAGGAGAGTCCCCATCACCTGTAAAGTGTTTTGAGTGGGAAAGCGCTATATAGGTCTAAGGAATTATTATTATTATTATTATTATTATTATTAGTAGTAGTAGTAGTAGTAGTAGTAGTAGTAGTAGTAGTATTATATGTGAGTGACATAACACTGCTCCTTTTTAGTCACTTTTAATTCCCAGTCTGTATTTGTTGTTGACATTTTTCACTGAACACTTCAGAATTGGGTAGTACTGTATACTGTATTCATGTAAAACTCTTAGGAAATATGACATGTACTCTATTATCTAATAAACTTGACAGTAATTGTTCATTTTGGAGATGAAACCTGGACATGGTTTGGCACTATGGCAACTGCCTAAAATCAATATATTGCTTTTAAACAGGAAACACGATCCCAGCCTGGTACTTCTAAAGCACTGTTTCTAAGCAAATGGAAACTACACCTTTTAAGATTTAGAGAACAGCTGATAATGATTTATACTCATGAAAATATATATTTTAATGGCATTGTGGTCTAATACTTGAGGATTTAAAAATGATCAACTATAACTTTATATTAGTATAATTTTAAAACTCCATGTTTGTTTAGTCGAAAACATTAAGAAATACATTTATAAAAAATAATAAAAATAATTGATAAAAAAGAATTAAAAAATAAAAAATTACTACTAATATGTAGTTTATATGTGAACCAAGCCGTACAGTAAGTAAAATACGATTTAACATGAATAATGCTCTCCTACTAAAAGCAACAACAATTTGGGCTGAAATTTATTTTCTCAACTGCAATCTGTTTTAACACTTAATGACCAGGGATTTTTAATTTGGGGGGGTCAGACATACAGTATACAGTATAAGGTACAGTAAATTAAATTTTGGGGAGCAAACTAATCAAATACTGCATATGCAAGCAAGCCACTGTGTTATCCACTATCATAAGAATTAGCAGAACAATACTGCTATCCAAGTACAATAAAAACTCAGATTAGATACCTTAATGTTTCCTTATATTGTGAATCCACAAATATGGAACTTTAGGAAAAATAAGGATTTCTGTAGTGATGCATTTTGTTATCATTGTTAACTATTTAAGAAACAGTATAAAAAATTATTGGTATTAAGTATTTTTTATGAATACTACTAATATAAAAAGCATTGATTTCCAACTAGTTATATTGTATACACAAATAAATTAGATGTGTCTGGAGAGCAATACACATACAATTAATCAGACTGCGATATGCACAAAAAAAGGTGAATCCCAATTTCTTATCAGTTTCTTGCCATAAGACTATTGTTTAATCAAAACTGCTCATTTATTTACCCAAAAGGGTTCATATACAGTATACTCACTTTTGAGATGCAATGTTGTATTTTAAAGGGGAACTGCAGCACTATTTTTATTATTCAGAATTAGAAAGAATGTGAATTTCAAACCACAATGAAAGTAAAATGTAAACAATAATGCGTAAAATCTCCAATTTACATCACAAAATAGGCAACATTATTGGGTATACAGTATGCCGCGCCATATTTTGTGATTCAGAACAAGGCAGCTAAAACTTTCAGTAACATGAAGCAGCCCTATTACATTTTAAGCAAGTAGTGTTGTGAATACAGTACATCTCTTTTAATCCAATAGAAATATTGTTTTAGACTTCAAGACTTGTTAACTCTGCATGCAGATCAGGCTGAAACATTTCTGCAGTGAAATGTCTACTGCACAACCATTTAGCTTGAAGCTTAACGGATTCTGTGAGTACCAAAGTCATTTTCTGTATTACTTTTTAAAAACAAAATAGCAATAAGTACCTAAAGTTAGCTTTAATATTTTTTACATAATTTTTATTTTTCTGCATTATACTGTATATTTCACAAAAATAAATCCAAAAACGAATACCATTGAAAAGGATATGAACCCGCTAATTACCACCACAGATATACAAACTAATATTAAGTTACTTCATTTCTTTAATTTATGGGAATCAAATCTAATAACAAATTATAGAAAAATCAGTAAGTTTCCTAGCATACAGCAGTAAAAAAACGAATTGTAATGTAAAGGCATTTTTTGAGCTGGTACAATGTTCATAACCTATTTCCCACCACACAATATTTGCACCTTTTTTTCAAATGCTATATGCAGCAGATAAAATAAGCCAATCAGCAGTACCGATTTGTAATGTATTTTATTTTGTATCATTAAATGTTTTTTGCTTTTTGAAAATTACTGTGGTGGAAAAAGCTTTGTGAAGAAGGCTATTAAAGCACTCACCAAAAATGACTTTCAGCAACATTAATTATGTGCCAAAAGTGTACCTTTTTCTACACTGTTTCTAATGGTCCTGTAAATCTTGCAGTGTCCATACATTTCTATAATTTTCACAGACCTTATTTGCACATGAGCAGATCTTTAAGCCACTTAAAAACTACCTACATATCACCTTACTGTAGAATAAGAGAACAGTCACTTTAAGATACTGTGCAGAGCTGTGTTTGGTTCCCAGCCAATCCCTGCAGCTGGAGCCATCAGGAGTAATTCTGCATATGTGATGATACTTGACATCCAGAGAGAAAAAGAGAGAGCAAGGAGGGCATGGAAAGAGAGCAAGCCTGGACGCACATGAAGAGAAAATATCGGGCAGGTTTCACCAGCCGTCCAGGGCAAAAGTAATCTGAGGCGAAAATAGAAGATAAAAAGGAAAAAATCTAGTAAAGTGAAAAAAAGACTAAGTCATCACAGTAATCTGAAGTTTTTCTCAGAAAAATGTGCTTATAAAAACCTGACTGAATATTCAAACTCTTGGACCAAAGAAATGGAATACAAGAGATAAAGAAAAGCTGCAATTTTCCGCTTGATAATCACACAACTAAAATGTTACAATATAATGGTTCAGAAAGAATGTTTTTAGTTGAAGAAAAAGGACTTTAACCTAACACCTGTTCTTTATGCCATTTTGGATACCAGAAGCTTAATGGATTCCGTGAGTACCAAAGTCATTTTCTATATTACTTCTTTAAACAAAATAGCAATAAATACTTAAGGTTTGCTTTGGTATTTTTTTAATTAATTTTAATATTTTAGTCAAAATCGAGTGTCTACATTATTTGTCTTACAAGAATAAATAAAAAAAACTTATATCAATGAAAAAGATATGAACCCATTAATTACCACCACAGATATACAAACTAATACTTAGTTACTTAATTTCTTTAATTTATGAAAAGATGTTTTATTTTAATGTAGTAGAGACAGTTTAGCCAAATTGAAACACTTACAATATAGCAAAGCTCATTTATGAAATGTGATAAAAATGACAGTACTAAATGACTTAGCCCTTTAAATTCAATAGCTCTTCTTCAAGAAAAGGAACAATTTGGTGATCAATTGTCTTAATTCAATACATGGATTATTAATTCTTTGTCATTTCTTTTGCATTATATTTCAATACATTAAAAAAAGTTTTTTTCTAAAGCAGAATCATGAGATGATTATGTGGTACACACTTATATATGGATCTTGAATTCATTACCCTTAAAAAATGAATGTACAGTATCCAGGTTTCAAATTTCCAGAATTGGCAGTAAATAGTTAAGTTTATCATATGTGTTAATGATGAAATTACAATCACAATCCATGTGTTTGGAGAATCTGTTTTATGCTTTCCTCTTAATGAACTCACGTAAACTAATACAGGCATGCAGGTGTAAATATAGTTATAATATATCATATAGATATACAGATAGTTATATATTTTTGTTTGTACTTGAAAATATACAGTATTGTTTTTAATTAATTTGTAGTTTAGCTTATGAGTTTACATTACTACTGTTTTCACTTCTCTTACAGTCTGTTCCATTTTTCTGTATTGGTAATTTTACATTTTTAAATAGTTCCAAGAATGGATTTAGACATTAGAATAATACAGCAAGAAGGATTTCATAAAAGGGAATTAATTATTTTAATATATTATTGTTATTGGTGTCCACTGATATCAGAGTTACTTACCGAAGAAATACACATTTTAAAATAGCACACTGACAATTGCACAATCCCAAATCCCAAAACTCCCCCAAAATTGTTATGTGTGGGCGATTAGTTGGTTGACTAGTTGTGACTTCAGTGTACATCAGGGTAATCTGATATTCTGAAGTAATTGTTCTAATGCTACAGGTTAAACAGCTTGTATTTTTAATTTTATATCCACCCAAATTTGACTTACCAATTATTGATTTACATATACTGTCTCACAGCAGCAATCCTTGTCCTCAGGGATGTGCAGACATGCTCCTGTTATAATCACATTTTACACTGCCAACTCCTCTCTACCTTACAGTTTATGTTTGTATGTTTTCCACTTACAGTAACTGGCAGCTCTCAGCCTCAATCTGGGTTTGATATTAAGAATCACAGGAATAAAACCAAGAGCTGAGAAACATCACAGCAAGGGATAGTCAGCACTGATTTGAAGGAGTGGCACTCATCTTAACCTAGCCCCTTTTGTGTGCCTTCAAAAGCATGCTGTGACATGAGCAATTTTGGTCACAGTTAACTTGCGACATGACCCTGGCTCAGACTCACCGGCCATTAAGGTTTGCCTGCACAGGGAATATGCGTCTTTACTAGTTCAGCCACTAGGAAGAGACAGGTTAGGTGATCGAAGTTTTTTAGAACCACTGTCCATTTAGTGTGTATAGTGAATGCTACTTGTGACTGTGGTCGATCGTTCTAAATGTAATCATGAAATACAGTACCATATTCAGCTTTATTGCAATTACTTTGCTACTTTGACACATCATGTATGATGAATTATTTATGGAAATGTGACAACCTAAAATCATCAAGATTCTAATGGCTTTTAAGGAGCATAATAAAGCCCGTGTGTGTAGACAGTATATTGTTAAAAAATGTCCATTTACTACAACGCTTGCCTCAGAAGAAATTAAAGACAATTCATAATTTAATTAATCAACAACTCTCACTCAAATTGTCACATAGGATATACAGTATGTTTCAAAATGCCACAGTATTTGCAATAATATTGCTCATGACAGCTAAAGATATGACATATAATAATCATGAGTTTGTCCATGCTAGAAAAAATATACATCAATAATACATCAATGGCTCATTAAATAATAGAAACAAATACTAAATACTAAATATAAGGCCATTTGGTCCAGCTAGCTCATTTGATTTTTCAGTAGATGTAAAATGTTATTTATATTGTAAATAGTGAGAAGATGTTTTGTTTACTTAAGTACTGTTTATGCTTGGTATAAGTTCAAGTTATGTAATTTCATAAAAAGGCTAGGTGCTCAGGTTCCTTACATTTGACCTGATTAATGTGGTACCATTTATGGATGCTGTATTTTTAGCTTTTGATGTACTCACTTTTAGGATACATTTGCTTCAGGTTGTTTCAACTACTGCCTTCCACTCTACACCTATAGAATACTGACCGAGGCACTGATCCAGGCGGGTTCACGCAAACGACACAACTTGATACAGTATGTCAGGCATTTTCTGTTGCTCTAATAATTAAGCTAAACCCAAAATATTCACATACTCCCCTCTGAGAGTTGTACTAAATTTCAGCCACCTTTCAGAGAAAGCAAGTACTTATAATGCGAATATGTTTTTCTATGTTCCCTCTGAGTGATGATTAAAATAAGGATCTCTGAGACTTTCGCTCACGGTAACCTTGACTCAGAAGTCTATGCCGCCCTCATGACTCCTGGTCAAATGCCTTGCACACCTCTGCCCTGGCTTTTATGACCTCATCCGAGGTCATGTTCAAGGCCCGAACTAGAGATCACTGAACCATTCGCTCGTCGTATCCCAAGTTCAGTGATCCTTGTACTAGGTCCTACTTGCAGGCTAAGGCTTGATACTGGACATCCACCTGGTTCCTTACTTGAGGATAGAGAACAACAATTCATGAATTTCGCACACTTCTCCCTTGTGAGTAGAAGCAACAGTAAACCCACTCTCAATTCTTTCCATTTGACTGTAACCATTCTACCGCCTTCTATACCTTACTGTAGCGGAGTTAGTGTGGTGACGTCAGCGCCCTCACTGCGCGTATCAGGGTCCCCAGCTGCCTGGGCTGGGGGAGGTCTCCTTTAGATCACACGGTTGGAGCCCTGTTGCGTTATGCCGGAGACCCGGGTTCACACCCCAGGTGTGGGGGCCAGAATGGGCGGCGGGGGGTACGACCCTGCGCGGAACCGTGACTGTCACATTGGTGCCATGACCCGGGCAGGAGTGTGGAGTGTCCTTCGCCGAGCCAAAGTTCAGCAGGGGAGGGTGTAGAGGAGCTAGTGTGGTGACATCAGCGCCCTCACTGCGCGTATCAGGGTCCTCAGCTGCCTGGACTGGGGGAGGTCTCCTTTAGCTCACGCGGTTGGAGCCCTGTTGCGTTACGAAACTCGGGTTCGCACTCCAGGTGTGGGGGCCGGAACAGGCGTCGGGGGCATGACCCCGCGCGGAACAGTGACTGTCACATTACCAGTGGACCGACGCGGCAACAAATGAGTCTGCTACTGTTTTGGAGCGTCCATCAGTTCCTTACTGTTTCACTTGACATCAAGTTGGCATAAAGCCATTGGCACCTCTGCCCTGCACCGCTAGGCTGCAAAGGTGTATTCATACACATAGTACAGTAGAAAGGTGACTTCTACTGCACTAGCCTCCAAACAGGGTTCTATCAATCTGCCTCTCACATGATCTGTAAACATACAAATACAGGAAACTACCAGTGACCCTAGCGCCCAGCCAGTGTGCTCTTAAACTTCCATTTTGTGATATTGACATTATTTTGGAGTACCAATCGTACCTCTTATTGGCCGTGGCAGTCGCTAGTTCACCTAACGCTCAGCCAATCTGCTCCGTTATTTCCTGTCAGAGTACATCAGCTAGTGCCTCTACCTTGCACCACTATGCTAGGCTAATCAGCAGTATGCAGTGCACCTCCCATATCCTGCCAGTGCTTAATATTAAAATCAACACAAAACACTTATGTCAGAGCTACTGGTGTATTTCCTATTCTTTTTGTCTGTGCTCATTACACAGGACCTCTAGCACAAGAAACACCCTTGTCACACACTGCCAGAGGCCAGCAACTAGTCATACACTTCTGTCACTCTGTTCTTTCCATGTAATGAAGGTTTTCCTAGCAACATCCCTCCTCTCTGCACTTCACTCTTTAATGTATGTTAGTCTGCAAAATCAATTTCAGCTCTTATATTACCACATGTATTAAAGTAACATTAACTTATACATAGTTTGTTTACTCAAATACTAGTTTACCTTTTAGTCATACAGGCATCATCAGTAGTCTTGTTCATTAGGCATACCTACAGTACAGGCTGTTTTAAAAGTCTAGCAGATTAATCCCCTCTGGGTCCTAGATCACATACACTCCCCTTCCAGGGGAAAGTTGCAGCCTGCTTCACTTGCTAGCTTCCCATATTACGCAACTCATACACAGCTGCCACCCTTCTGCTGTGTACTGCAAGTGGCTGCTTGTGGTAGCCTTCTGTTGAATAAGCGGCAGCTTACACATAGCACAGACTAGTTCTCTCACAATCCTAGCTAGCTCATAATACTAATGCATATACAGATGATGGACTACCACCACTCTGAGCTGGCTGCTCTTTCTGCCTCTCTTCCGCATGTGTTAGGCAAACACGACGGCAATACAGCCTCTCAACACACAGCTTGAGGGAAATGCTCTCCTGCTTTCTTTCTCTGTCCTGTCAGCTCTCTCTTCGAAGGAAGGCAGGCAGCTCATCAGCACACCAGCTCCTCTACTCAGGCGATTTGGTATGCTTTCACAAACACTCACAAATTTCTACGTACTGTATGCATTGAAGAAAGTACTCTCATTGGATCCGTTACAGTCTGGTATGACAATTCCTCAGCTCATGAACTAAAAAAATTACAGAAGGTGGTCGAGAGGGCTGAGGCCATCACTGGTAA